CAAATACTTTGATACAAAAATCTATGGGCTGTGTTTGAACAAGCCCGTACGTTTCAGCATGCACGTGGAGAGGAGCTTAATTATACTTGAAGAATTAATTCTTCTGCATAAGCAGGTAGAGAAATGCCTACAAAAGATCTCTCTGTATCTTCTGTGGCATAAGCCTTTTGTTTTATTTTGACCAACCACGAAGGACAGTATACATTTCTTAGAGCCTGACGCATTCAGAGGAAACTCTGGCATTTTATGGGAAAGCAGCGAACGTCCTAAAATTAGGGCTATCCGAAAAACGGGAACCTTTTACCAATTTTGTGACCCCTTTAGAGGCCTCAGTAATCGGTGGAGCCCCAAAGGTGCTTTTTCAAGAGGCAACAGGACTTTCTTATATTTCCTTGAAAATGTTTTGCTTCTCAACCAAGAAGCTTCTTCAATTCTGGCTGAATGGTGGAGAATGGAAGGATGTATATGCAGTCCAGAGCTGAAGAAACTCCTTTGATGAGAGACGAAATGTCTTCAAGGAAAAAGCAAAGAAAATCCAGTTGCCTTCTGAAAGAAAGCACCTTTGGGACAATCATGACCCGGATGATGGAGAATCTCCATAGATATTTACTGGGTGGAGCCAAACGTGTTCTTTGGTTTGGAGGGGACCTTGGACAATTTCAAGAGGACACAAATATGTGCCTGAAGTCTTGCTAATGCTGAAGGAACTCATTCATCCCTTGAAACCCCTTGAAACATTCACTGGCCCCATCTATCGCGGGGTGGTGCCTACACCTGTCACATGGCACCTGTTTCAGCCCCCATGAAAGGGAAGACGTAAAAGGAGGACCCATCATGTAATGGTGTGTGTTGAGTTGAAATCCAGTAAAGCAATGGACAAGAATGACTTGAACAAACAAGGTATGGATGAAATGAAGGGCTGCACAAATTAGGTGGTTTTGTTTTTTTTAGCAGCTTGCACTATGTCAGCCCAGAAACTTACAAATGGATTCTACAATTCTGAAAGCTCCCACAAAGTTATGGGGGCTCCTAAGGCCATAATAGTGCATAGCTAAATAATAATAAAGGGGAAGGAAAGAACCACTGTTTCATAAAGGGGAAAAAAAGACATTTTTTAAAAAAACAAAACTTAATATACATTTAACAACCTTACAATTGGTGTGCATCTTAGGTATAAAATTTCCACTGGCCTTTTTTTATTATTTTAGTCACCTCATAATTTATAATAAATAGTTAATCACAACTGATAAATATGCCTCTTTAAGTAAACAAAGGAATGAAAGTTAATGGTTATACAGGATGTATACATTTAAAATCATAGGTAATTACTGAACGCTGCCAATGAAAAAGTTACTGGCTTCTCAAGAAAGAGTGTCCAGAAACACAGCATTATTTTAAAAGCAGGACTGTGCTCTGTACCACAACAATTTGTTTTATCAAATTAAAGCCACAGCAGTGAAAAGCATAATTTTTTTTTATATAAAGATTTCTCTCTTCTAGTTTCAAAACTATCAACACATAAAATAAAAACTGATCTTAAGGATTACAATTTAAGAAGCAGTAAATAAAATAATGAGATCTCCTAGAAAAAAAATAATGAGAAACATCTCCCCACCCACTTTAATAAATGTTATGTATATAAAAGCACTAAAGATAGAAGGAAGGAAGGAAGGAGGGAGGGAAGGAAGGAAGGAAGGAAGGAAGGAAGGAAGGAAGGAAGGAAGGAAGGAAGGAAGGAAGGAAGGAAGGAAGGAAGGAAGGAAGGAAGGAAAAATAGAGATATTAGTTATACCTAGTTGGTTAAGACAGGATTTGAAAAAAAGTCAGGATCCAGGCAAAGTTAAGATAAATCCAATTCCCAGACAAATTTGCACCAAAAATTACATTAAATGAGAGTGTAAACAGGACAGCACTGTTAAGATCAGCCAAGCTAGATTGCAAAGTTTGTGCTAAACTATCTCACTGATATCTATTGGACTAAATACCAAATAATCCTAGAAGTCAAACCGATCGCAACAATGCTTCTTAATCAATCAGAATAGAGCTGGAAGAGACCTTGGAGGTCTTCTAGTCCAACATCCTACTCCAGCAGGAGACCCTATAGCAGGGGTAGGCAACCTTGGCTCTTTTATGACTCGTGGACTTCAACTCCCAGAATTCCTGAGTCAGCATGGAGGAACTATGGACCCCTCATGACTCGTGGACTTCAACTCCCAGAATTCCTGAGCCAGCATGGCTCAGCTTGAAAACCTCTCCCTTTCCCCTCAGCATGGCTGGCTCAGGAATTCTGGGAGTTGAAGTCCACAAGTCATAAAAGAGCCAAGGTTGCCTACCCCTGTCCTATACCATTCCAGATAGTGGCTGTCCAGTCTCTTCTTAGAAACCTCCAGTGGTGGAGCACCCACAACCTCTGGAGGCAAGCCGTTCCACTGGTTAATTGTCCTCCCTGTTAGGAAGTTTCTCCTTAATTCCAGGTTGCTTCTCTCCTCGATTAGTTTCCATCTGTTGCTTCTTTTCCTGCCTTGTTAGTTGTTCTGACAATTCTGTTAGTTGTGCTGTTGCTTGTTAGTTCTTATCTCAGTTCTCAAGACACTCTTGCTAATTGTGGTTACCAAAGCTACTAACTTTGGGTCTCTGTTGTATATCAAGTTAGGCTCCTTGATAATGTATCAAGATTGGCCAGTCGTGTGTCTCTGGATGTCATCTCTAGAAAATCCTCTGGTCACGTTAGTGGAAGTCACATTCCTAACAGCCTTGGTGACACTTGTAAATAACTAGAAGTATTTCTTCAAGAAACACTTTGAGCTTCGTCACCCAGTAATTTCACTATCATTCAAGTCAGGACATTAGTAGTTTGGGAAGATGTAGAATGGTCTCTTATTTAGCAGACTGTATTTCTGATTTAAAGCCCAGTTTTATTCTGAGTAACAGAATAACAGAGTTGGGAGGGACCTTGGAGGTCTTCTTAGTCTAACCCCCTGCTCAAGCAGGAGACCCTACACCATGTCAGACAAATGGCTGTCCAATCTCTTCTTAAGAACTTCCAGTGATGGAGCACCCACCACTTCTGGAGGCAAGTTGGTCCACTGGTTAATCGTTCTCACTGTCAGGAAATTTCTCCTTAATTCTAGGTTTGATCTTTTCTTGATTAGTTTCCATCCTTGGCTCCTTGTTTTGGAGAACAGCTTGACCTCCCTCTTCTTTAGGGCAGCCCCTCAAATATTGGAAGACTGCTACCCTATCATATCATCCCTAGTCCTCCTTTTCATTAAACTAGACCTACCCAATTCCCAATTCGACAAACGTGCTTTCAACAAGTCAGACCAGGAATATTTGATCGGAGTTCTGTCGATCCTATTTAGAACATTAGTTAAGAGGTTGGAAGACTCCAATTTCACATCCGATATGAATATAGAGGAAAATAAATAAATAAATGTCTTTATCAGGTCTGGGTTATTTCCTGGTCCACAAGTTCTAGTGAACTTCTTTCCTTCAGGATAATCCCACTTCTCTTCTGCTCCGCTCCCATTTGACATTTTAGGATCCTGCAGCTTTCCAGACGTTAATCCTCAAATCCAGCCCGTTCTAGTTTGGAAGACAGCTTTTGTCACCTGCAACGGCTACACTGTGTGGTCCAGAAGAAGAAGAGAAGGCTTTGTGAATCTCTAATCTACATCTATGTCCCAGCACATCCTTACTCGACCTGCCTTAACGTTACCAGCACAAATAACAACCACCTGGCTGAGAAAAGTGATAAAAGGCAGAGGCTCGCCTGCTCATTGTGTAACGAGGGAGGTTTGAATATTCTTAACTTTGGCTGAATTCCGATAATTAAAAGGAAAGGAAGAAGGATATGGCAAAAAGCATCAGCATTTCCCCCCCCCCTCCATCCAGTGCACACATTCATACATTCACTCGCCCGCTTCACTTTTTATTTTTAGTTTTTTAACAATCAAATATAGATAAGCGTTAAGTTCAGCTTTCTAAATGCGTTAGTGTACAATATTGTTTCGCCTTGTATAATTACATTTGAATATTCTCGATTAAGAAAAAAGTCAGCAGGTTGTGTGTGTTTTTTTTTTTAAAAGGACGCTGCATTTACAGTGCATAGCTCCAACCAAAAGAGAGATAGGGAGGGAGAGAGAGAGCGCATTGTATTCCCATACGCTATGTACATAAAATAAAAATACTCCATTGAACAAGGGTAAATACTGGACTACATTGTCAAATGTAGTCGGTCATCTAACTGTATATTCTTTTCTCCATGAAGGTTATTACCCTCGGCTGTTTTGTAGAGTAACACCGTGTCGGTTCATCAAGGAAGAAAGAAAAGGAAAAAAAACTATTCCGCACGCTGATGGTTAATTTAAAAAAGAAAAAGAAAAATGGAAGTCACAATTAAAACAGCAAACATTTAAAATCCTCCAGATGTTTTTCCACCTTCCACTGGTGTTGTTTATTTTTGTTTTTGTTTTTTTTTCCTCCCCTGACAACAACACAAGAATGGACCGTGGGTTTTGCGGTATCTGCAGTTCTCTTTAAAGATTGTCATCCTATTAAAACAACCCGGTGTGGGAAGCTCGCTTTAAGAGAATTTTTTAAAAAATAAAATGAAATAAAGCACCAAAACACAGTGTGTTATTTTAGATGCCGGCAGCTAAAAGTTTCAAATTGCTTCGTTTGGAAAAAAATGCCGTTCTGTACATATTTTCTAAGTTTGTTTGGATTCGGTTCTCTATGGAACTGCCGCCACAACAAAGATTAAAACCCACAACCTCCTTCACCACCTGGAAAAGCAGCGCTGGAACTTAAGAGAGTATGACACGACTGTTGTGATCGGCCCCAGCTGCCTCTCCGTTCCTCGTCCGTGTAAACCATGTTTCCGTAAGGGAGGACGCAGAGGAGGAGGTGTGTGTGTGTGAGTAATGACTTCTTTACTGGCTATGACCGAAGGACGTGTTTGTGGCACCTTTTTCCGCTCTTCTTCGCCGCGTCGCGCGTTACCTTCGGAAGCTGCCTTGCGCCTCTCGAAGTAAACTATCGAAATCCATGGAGTCGTACTTGCTCTTAGTAGAAGCAGGATCAAAGTCGTCCGAATCTGGAAGAAAATAAATCCTTCAGGTGTGCTTAGGTCCCCACTTCATACCACCTGACGGAAGAGCTCAGAGTGTTTGTTTGTTTTCAAACATTAAGGCAGGTGGACTTCAACTCCCAGAATTCCCTAGCCAGGGGGACATTGAGGAATTCTGGGAGTTGAAGTCGGGTCATTTCACAGCAGCCATGCTGATGGGAGTAGTTCTCGACTTACGACATTTAGTGACCGTTCAAAGTTATGACGGCACTGAAAAAAAAGAGACTGAGGACCGTTTTTCACACTTACGGCTGTTGCCGCATTCCCCACGGTCATGTGATCAAAATTGGGATGCTCATATTTATAACGGTCACATGTTCCCCCAGGGGTGACGTGATCCCCTTTTGTGATCTCCTGACAAGCAAAGTCAATGGGGGGAGCCAGCTTCACTTAACAACCGTGTTAGCAACTTAACAACTGCAGTGATTCGGTTAGCAACCATGGAAATTGGTTTTTTTACCCCAGTTATGACCTTTGTAGCGTCCCCCACGTTCACGTCATTCAAAATTTCAGAGGTTGGGTGACTGGCTCATATTTATCATGGTTGTAGCATCCCAGGGAGGGGTCACGTGATCCTGTTTTCCGACCTTACACCAAGCAAAGTCAAGGGGGGTAAAACCAGATTCGCTCAACGACCGGGTTACTAGCTTAGCAACTGCAGTGAGTCATTGAACAACGGTGGCAAGAAAAGTCATAAAAATTCCCTTTTTTAGAATAGAATAGAATAGAACAGAGCAAGGAATAGAACAGAGCAAGGAATAGAATAGAATAGAATAGAATAGAATAGAATAGAATAGAATAGAATAGAATAGAATAGAATAGCTTTATTGTTATGTAACACAACAAAATTAAGTATTAAATTTGCAAGTCGCTTCTTATTGTCATTATATTTTTTATACATATAATCTCTTTGATGAATTCACAATACAGCAAGGTAGAATAGAATAGAATAGAATAGAATAGAATAGAATAGAATAGAATAGAATAGGAATGGAATGGAATGGAATGGAATGGAATAGAATAGAATAGAATAGAATAGAATAGAATAGAATAGAATAGAATAGAATAGAATAGAATAGGAATGGAATGGAATAGTATAGAACAGAAATAAGAATAGAATAGAGAAATGAAGAGAAGAGAAGAGAAGAGAATATCTTTATTGTCATTGTGTAACTCACAACGAAATTAACTATTAAATTTGTGAGTCGCTTCTTATTGGTCATTATATATTTTTTTATACATATAATCTCTTTGATGAATTCACAATACAGCAGGGTAACATTTCAATCTCATCCAAGACAGTCCTATTAACCACACCGCTTCTCCAAAAAAAACATGACGTAGAATAAAATATATTTGAATTATTCCACGAATCAATCGCCTTTAGTGATTAGCTCTTTGGGGTTGATCTAGAATATGCCCTGACGTTTTTCCCCACTCCCACCCCCGCCTTCCTCTTCCCTGTTTAATTTATTTATTCCCTCCAGAATTCCGACGATTTCCCCTGACATCCATAGACATTTTCCCACAGAATAATGGCCCGATCATTTCTGATATAAAAGCCAAAAAAAAACGAAAAAAAAAACCCCACAATGAAATTCTGGCACGGAAGAGGCTTGGAGAGCTACGGAGAGCCAGCCCACTCTTAGTAATGAATAGTGCTCCAGCAGCTGTCTGTCAGACCACTTATTTTATGTCCTAGATGTTTTGAGATACTGCAAACATCCCTGGCTTCATCAGTGGGGAAGATAAGTCAAATCAAGTCAAGACTTCCATCCATCTGGAGTGGGTTTTATCGGAACAAATGATTTGTTAATGTTGAGATTTTCACCCGGCTTTTTTTTTTTTTTTTTAATCTCTGCAGCAGGCAGTTGCTTTCTGCAACTTTACGCTATCTCTTTTCGGCAGTGAATGATCGCACGTCCACTTGAAACAAATGCACATTGCGGTTATCACTGCAACTCTGAGGAAGCACAAGAGAACACCTTGTGTTCTCTCCCCACGGCACACAAAACAGAGGCGGAACAGAGCACGCTTCGCCCACCGAAAGGAACAGCGTTGTGCGGAGATCTTAATTTTGAACCCTCTCTCCAGAACCAAATGAAATCGTTAGAGAGGCTAATAATAGTGTCTCTTCTCCACTTAACATCGGAAAAAGAATAATATTGGTTTGACTCTAATATAAAAACGGATGTTTAATAAGATCCTTTGGAACGAGGAACGGCTTAGCGTAAAGGTTAGTCCTTGTGAGCCCAAAATTTATGCCGTTAAGTGAGAATTTGTTAAGAGAGTTTTGCCGTTGATAAGCTAGTAAGCCGGTTGTTAAGTGATTCTGCCTGAAGTCCTCCTTTGACTTTGCTTATCAAGAGGTCACAAAAAGGGATCACCTGACCCCCCCCTGGGATGAAGCAACAGTCATAAGTATGAACCAAGCATCTGAATTTGTATCACGTGATCATGGAGACGCTGCGAAGGTCGTAAGTGTGAAAAAGAGTCATAAGTCGCTTTTTTTTCCAGTGGTGTTGTAACTTTGAACGGTCACTAAAGGAACTGTTGTAAGTTGAGCACTACCTGTACACAAAACCTTTACTAGGCAAAGCTGCTCTAGGCTTCCAGAGAAAAGGGACTACTGAATCAAACCAACCGGAGATGAGGAATGGAGCTCTTGGTGTCTGTCCGTAATTATTCACCATGCAGGTTTTGGCACTTGCCAACTTAAAACCTAGATTTATTTTTGGGCTGTCCTAATGCTCTGCCCACTTCTGTGTGGGACTAGGAGAATTTGCCACAGCCAACTCACCACAATCAACTTGCCACAGTCAACTCACTGTGGCCAACTTTCTGTGGCTAGCTCACCACAACCAACTCACCGCGGGACAAAAGTCACACAATATCAAAGACACGGTGGAGTAGACTCATTAAAAAAAGGATGTGAAAGGAGAGAGAGAATGAAAACTGGGAAGGAGTCAAATTAAAACATGCTTAAGATTATTTTAAATAATGAAATAAAATTGTTGAATGGTCCTGCGGTGAATTGGCCACAACGGGTTGTCCAATTGATGAGTTGGACAGCTGGCTGTGTTGAGTTGGCCCATGGCGAATTGGCAACGGTGAGTTGACCGCGGCGAGTGGGCTGTTGTGAGTTGTCCTATTCCATCCTGCAGTGGCTTGGAAAAAGAGACTGGACTAAGCAACCTGAATGAGCAAGAAAGAAAAGGCATTCTCCTGACAAATTACTTCGTCCACATTCTGATCTTTTCCAAAGCAGTCAACTTTCCATTGCTTTAGAAAAAGTTAATATTTAGAAAGCCCATCGGAAGCCATCAGACAAACCACAGCCCGTTTGGCAGCAGATCCAATCTTTCTTGCCCACTGGTGCAAAAGAATTGTGTTTACATTATAATTTTGCACCTTTTTACAATTTCTCATTTTTAAAAATCTTGGGGGGGGGGATACGCTTATTTTTAAAAGACCTTACGCAGTCCTTAGATAAGGAGCAATAACCCTGTTCCTGAATCAGGTGTATTTTTTAAATATGCTTTCTTAGGGGAGTTAGGAGTGGAAGCAAGCTCAAAAATTAGAAAACCCTCCGGCAGACCAAAACTGACTCTTACATTCAGCTAATAGTAAACACCGTACCAAGATCTGCATAGTTAGCCTTGCAGCGTTGCCTCTGTCCACAAAAATACAGCTGAAAGGCAGGTTCATTGGATCTGCGTAGAGTATTTCCATTTTCTAGTGCAGCAAAGGCATCACAAGTATAGCGGTAAGTGATGAATCCATAGCTATCTCTGAAAATAATAATAATAATAACAATATTAATGCGTTACAACCTCGTAGCGATATTTAAGAGTATACCTGCCCCACAGAAATAAAGGGTGAGGTTTACTTCAAGTCAAACAAAACTGAACATCAAAACAATGTAATAAAAACATGAACAAAATGCTGGCAAGGCAAAACATTACATGGTAAATATCTGTAAAAGATTGAGAGGAAAGTGGACAAAGATAAAACCGGGCAATGGCTTGCAGCTAAAAAGAAACTGAAGGCTTGATTTTTGGCTGCTCACGAGCAAGTTATTCAAACGAACGCAAACAAGGCCAGAATTGAAAAATCATCAAATGAGTCAAAGTACAGATTTTCCAAAGGGGAAGAAGAAAATGTAGATCACATAGTCCCAAAGGTGCTTTTTCAAAAGGTAACTGGACTTTCTTTATTTTTTTCTTTGTTTAGCTTCTCATCCAAGAAGCTTCTTCAATTCTCAGAAAGTCCAGCTGCCTTTTGAAAAAGCACTTTTGGGACAACCATGACCTGGATGACTGAGAATCTCCAGAGACAAGTAGATCATATACTTGTCCAGAGTTCACGCAAGAAGATCACACAAACTGACTATAAATGATGACATAACACAATTGCAAAAATGATTCACTGACAAGTTTGTAAAGATTATCATGTGCCGGAAATGAACAACTGGTAGGGTATTTATCCCCACAATAGCTTAGAGGATATATCTTTAATATATCTTTTAATATTTTAATGTATAGTTTTACTATATTAGATTTACAGAGTACAGATGAACAGAGATGGCATTACTGTAATAGAAGTGTTCGGAATATACAGTACCGTATTTGATTTATTTTACAGTTTCCAGTATATAATTGTACTCACGTCTCCCTCTTGATCCCGACTGTCTTGTATCTCTCTTTTTATTACTTTATGTTGCTGGCCATTGACCAAATAATATAAATAAATTTCAAATTTCAAATCCTCACAGTAATCCAGACATATTTATTGATGGAACAGAACATCTCAACCATCGCTAAATTCATAAACACGCGTTGAAGGGGAAAGGCATTTCAAAACCATAGTTTGGATATTATTGTATTTTTATGGCCAATTTTCAAATCTAGGCTTTAGTGTATTTTAATTTTTCCTCTTCTGAGTGAGGAGAGCCAAAGGGGGAAAAAACGAGGAATTTTACCCATCATCCTGTAGATTCACTGTACACTCCTCAATTTCACCAAAAACTTCAAACCGGTCCCTCAGTTGCCTTTGGGTAAAGCCAGGTCCAATTCTACCAATATAAATGACGCGACGTTCTTCCTGATCATAAGAAGAAAAGGTACAGAATTTCTACATAAATTAGCCCCAAATGGTAGGTATTTCCACGAGTGCATAAAACTAAGAGGATTTCTCAGACTTCCCATGTCCTCAAGTAATTATTATTTTTTCCCCAGTGAAGGAACAACACGCTTGAGGAGCAACACATCTGAGCATTGATGTGCTAGCTGTCAATGCTTAAATCCCTACAGATGTTCAGCAATGAGATGATCAAACATGCTTTTTCAATTCCTCGGATTCTTTGGCGTAGGGCTATCCATCCAGTTGATTTAACAGAATAACAGAGTTGGAAGGGACCTTGGAGGTCTTCTAGTCCAACTCCCTGCTCAGGCAGGAAATTCTATACCGTTTCAGACAAATGGTTGACCAATCTCTTTTTAAAAATCTCCAGTGTTGGAGCATTCACAGCTTCTGAAGGCAAGTTGTTCTACTGATTGATTGTCCTCACTGTCAGGAAATCTTTCCTTAGTTCCAAGTTGCTTCTCTCCTTGATTAGTTTCCATCTGTTGCTTCTTGTCCTGCCCTTGCCCTGCCCTTGGAAAATAGATTGTCCCCTTCTCTGTGACAGCCCCTCAAATATTGGAAGGCTGCTATGATGTCCACCCTCGTCCTTCTCTTCATTAAAACAGACATACCCAATTCCAGCAACCGTTCCTTGTATGTTTTAGCCTCCAGTCCCCTGATCATCTTTGTTGCTCTTCTCTGCACTCTTTCTAGAGTCTCAACATCTTTTTTTACATCGTGGCCACCAAAACTGGATGCAGTTATTCCAAGTGATTTAGCTACTTAGCTGCTCCATTCTGGACTGGGACATGTTTCCTTGGAAGCGATAATCTCATTCTGAATATTAACCATTTTGAGATACAGAGGAAAGAAGTGAAAGATGGAACTTTTTTTAAAAAAAAAACACACACTCCAAAGTGTAATTTTATCTCTGAAGAATTACAAGCATGCCTCAGCTGCTGAACTGAGAACAAGTTTAAAGATAGGCCAGTTAAATAAAAAAAGAGTTCAATGGTGGCCAAGGAGAAACTCAAGGAGCAAAAGTTTTAGCGCTAGCTTTAGAAGCTTATCGGTGTCAGTGTTATCCTGTAGCCACTGCGGTTCTTCTTGTTCTTCCCCCCCCCTCTCTCTAGGAACTAAAATAGTACTCAAAAGCTCTCTCAGGAATGCCAAGGACATGGCCTGAGTAAATAAATGGCTTTCAGTGCAGATAGTAAGTAGCTGTAATGGTGAAGCTCAGCTTTTTTAGCCTACGACTTCAGCTACATATCCGTGTGTGTGTGTGTGTATCAAATCGCTACTGCGATACACTACAAATTCGAATTTCTTTTTTTGTTGACAGAGAGTTAAAGAGTTAAATGGGAGACTAGAATAGCTATTTCAAGCTTTTTAGCTCTCATCAGCTAGCCATACCCTTTATGGGATTCGAATCTAGGCAGCCTGAATACTAGGCTGATGTATTAACCTCCAGGCCAATGGCTCTCCTCCCCTCTTTTGTCAGCCAAGCCAAGGGAATATATGGTACGTTTTTTCCGGACAGACCAGTCTGGTTGATGCACCTTGGTTTTTTTTTTAACTGCTATATTGCAGTTTTAGCTGATGAGAGCTAAAAACCTTGAAATAGCTATTCTAGTCTCCCATTTAACTCTTTAACTCTTTGTCAACAAAAAAAGAAATTTGAATATATGTATGTATGTATGTACGTATGTATGTATGTATGTATATCTCCCCCAAGTTATTTTCCTGCTTTTTATTATTATTGATCCTCGCACAGTCAGCCAGATGTTCAGACTGGATTTGGCATTTTTGTCTACCTATTGACTCCTTACCAAGGACCTGGGATACGCAGATGTGGATGTTTGATGTTATTACAGATCTCGTCCCAGGATGGAAGCTGTTCCTAGTAAGGCCACCTTTTGCAATTGACTGATGGTGAATTTGTCAATGCCGATGATGGTGTCCATGTGGTGCTCCAGTTGTATTGGGATTGCACCCAAGGCGCCTATGACTATCATCATCACCACCACCACCACCATCATCATCATGGACACCTTGTATTGCATTTCCCAAGCTGGGCTGATTATGGGACCTCACTGTGCTTTCATAACACTTGGGTTTTGTCCCAGATTCCACGTTTCTCACTTGGCTAGCTCAGCTCTTGTCCCGAAAGATCACTCAAACGTACAAACAGACATTGTACAACTCTTGGTTAAAACTGCCCCAGGTTTTAGAGGCTGTGACGATGGCCATTCTGAGATTCTTCTATGAAAGACCTCTGCAGCTTGGGAAAGGCTCTTTAGACAGAGCTAAGCTAATGAGGCAGATGCAAGCAGGGTCTTTCTGTCTTCTTGTTTTATTTTCTCTTCCCGCCTTTCTAACAGGCCCTACCTTGAAATGGGGGAGGATTCACAACTCGTAAATCTGGGAAGCAGTAAAGATTGGCTCACGTACAGTGAAATATATATATATTTCCCTCCAGAATGTCTTTTACCAAAACAAAAACTTAACTGTGCTGAACTACTTGGTAAGAAACAATTGGGTTGATGCTAGCTGTTGAACCTAAATGACTGACCAGATGGAGCATAACAGTGGATTTTCTCCTACACTCCATTTCCGATCAAATACCTAAATTGAAAGGGGAGGGAAGAGAAAAACCCATAAAGTTTCACGAACCGACGACGTGGAGAACGCGAAGGAGCGACGTGATGCCAATAAGATCCTTCCCATATGCTTCCATGAAATTTGTCACGGGTGTAATTATTTTTTCAGCTTTTATTTCCCCACCTTTTCTCTCTTGTTTAGAGAGGAAGAAAAACCAACTCCGCTTTTTTAAAAATAAAATAAAATAAAATAAAATAAAAAGGGCTGAGTAAAGTACAACTAAGGGAATAAGTAAAAAGAGCTCGAATGTAGAAATTGAAATTTAACACCGAAAGGCACCATATGTCCTCCAGGCGCAGGGAACATTGAACTAGCTGTTTCGTTAAACGGCCAACCGTTATGCCATTTGGAAGGCGCCCTGCCTGTTGTGATTGTGGTGCAAGCGTTGTAGCTCTTTGATCTTTCCCAGCGTATTAGAACGGCTTCCGTTGCAGTCTCTCCTACCTAAGCACGAGAATGGATCAGACTGAATGCAATAACTATTGGATTTTTGATGTTCTCTGCTTTGTAACTACAAAGCTTTAGTAAGGCCACACTTGGAACACTGCATCCAGTTCTGGTCACCACAATACAAAAAAAAAAGAAGATGTTGAGATTCTGTAAAAAGCGCAGAGAAGAGCAACGAAAATAATTAGGGGGCTGGAGGCTAAAATATGTGAAGAAGGGTTACAGGAACTGGGTATGTCTAGTTTAATGAAAAGAAGGATGAGGGATGACATGGTAACTGTCTTCCAATGCTTGAGGGGCTGCCACAAAAACAGGGGATCAAGCTAGTCTCCAAAGCCCCTGAAGGGAGGACAAGAAGCAACGGATGGAAAGGAGATAAAAGGAGAGAAGCAACCTACAACTAAGGAAAAACTTCATAACGATGAGAGCAATCAACCAGTGAAAGAGCTCGTCTTCAGAAGTTGTGGGTGCTCCATCCCTGAAGGCTTTCAAAAAGAGACTGGACAGCCATTTGTCTGAAATGTTATAGGTTCTCCTGCTCGAGCAGGGGGTGGACTAGAAGACCTCCAAGGTCCCTTCCAACCCTATTATATTATGTTCTTGTAGATGTTTCATTCCTCGGCTAGATTAACATCATCTGAGCACTTTTCCAAGCAGTTGACATACATCAGTAATGCAAAAAGGCTTCTTCTGTATGTATTTATTATTTTATAATGATATGAATGGAAAGAAAGAGATTGTCCATTGGAAGGGAGGGTGCAACTAACCCTGCCAGTATTTTATCCATAGGAGCTAGCTAAGCACTTTTATAAATTGTACTATCATGGTAACCTGCTATGTGCTATTAATATCAGCAATTGCATTAAGAGATAAACTGGCTTTGAATATGAAGCCCCCATTTTTATTTTCGTGCCTTCAAAAATACTCCTGGTTGACTCTTAGTGGCAGCCTGCACACGTCCCTGTATTCTTCTTGACACAATTTGAGATGTGCTTTGCCATTGCCTGCTTCCTTGAGCTGAGAGAGACAGTCTGGCCCAAGGCCATCCAAGTAACTTCATGCCTAAGATGGACTCCGAGTCTCCTGGTTTTTACCCTAACGCCTCACCCATTAAACCACAGCACCTCTCAGGCTGAATGTAGCCTATTCTTTAGGGCAGGGGTCCGCAACCCCCAGTCTGTGGACCTGTACCGGGCCGCGGCATGCCAGCAACCGGTCCACAAAAACAAGCAAAGCCCCATCCGCGGGATGCAGGCAACACACAAAACCACGCCCCCTCCAGTCCACAGAAAAACCTCTCCATGAACTGGTCCCTAGTGCCCAAAAGGTTGGGGGCCTCTGCTTTAGGGAATCAGCACCATCTACTTCTAAGAGCAGACAAACCCACTGGGGATCAAGCTGTAGCACTGAAGACTCTGGCAGTGGATTGTTCTCCACGGTTGCCGTTTAGCTCCTGGACGTTTCATTACCAGACCAGGTAACACCTTCAGTGGGATTCTGGGTGAGGTGCCTTGTTTGCTTTCTCTACCGTTTAGGTGCGTCAGTTGGTTGTGCAACTGGTTGTATGCATGGTGCGAAATTCAACTGGTGAGGAGGTTGTTTCTGTCGTTGATTGATCATTTGGGTGGTCCAGCTTCTTAGAGGTTCATACGCTGGTTCCAAGTCAATGCCTTTATTGATAGATCCATTTGCAGAGTGCCAGACCGATGAATTCGTGTGCATGATGGATTTTGGCATGGCTGATGATTTTGGCTTCATCCCGGTGTTGTTTACTGTCAATGTGACTCAAGACTAGTGATTTCTGGTCATGCCGCTCAACTGACAGCTGGTGCTCATGAGTTCTAGTTTTCAACTGTCGTCCTGTTTGTCCGACCAAGAACTGGTTGCAATTGTTGCAGCTGACTTTGTATATTGCGTTGGTGCTGTCTGCTTTCTGTATTTTATCCTTGAATCTCAGTTAGTTCTTGTTAGAAATTCTGTTTATATATAGCACCACCGATCAAGCAAAGTGTACAATCACCATGTGCTTTACTGCTTAACTGTTCAACTCTGACAGGAAACAGGAAATTCTACTTAAGACAAAAGGGACATAGAGTATATACTGTAGATCCAAACTTGTAAACACTGCCATCTACTGGCTGAATACTACTATAGTTGTTGCACAAAAATACATTCCAACAATGTATTCCAACAGTTCTTGTCTGAAAGTAATTGTGGGTTTGTGAGCTATTGTTATTCTCAAGGGTTGAAGTAGCCTGGCAGCAACTTCTGATGTTCCTTTGATGTATGGCAGGACTTGCTTCCGTGTTGCACTTGTTCTGTGTGGCTTTTTGGGTTTTGGATGATATGCATCGCCGTATAAAGTTCTTTGTGTAACCGTTATGGAGGAAAAACACTGAACACTCTCTAGGAAAAGAGTAGTATGCAATGAACTAAAGAACTGTGTCCAGGCTACAGAGAAAGTGTCTTCAATAGTAGAATTTTATTTTCGTTGTACATCCATATGCTTTTTAATTTGAAGCTATTTTGCTGGCTGGTACCGAATAACTGGATAAAATATAAACATGGGAGTCCTGAGAAATGCATGCGAAAAGATCCAACCATTTTGTTTATTACATTCAAGGAGATTGCGTAACGTACACAAGCGGACACACAAAAACACGTCTTTCAACATAACAGTGTTATCTGTAGAGAGCTTACCACTGCTTTCTGCCTCTCTCTTTCTCTCTGCTTCGCCCTTTCGGATTCCCGTTTCTCGTATTCTTTGCGATATTCTTCCCTCTTCAGCCTCTCGTGCTGATATTCCTCGTAGCTGTCATATCTGAGAAACAAAAACGAATTGTTGCAGTCAAGGGCCAGAATTTCCCCCAAGGACACAAATCAACACAGCGGGCTTCATCCTTTGGGTTTTGTCGGCTTTTTAAATTTTATTTTTGGGCATATTGGAAACAAAAGCAAACTCAGATGTGCTACCTTCAACTATGACTGTTACCTTCCCAGTGAAGTGGTACCTATTTATCTACCCGCATCTGCATGATTTCAAACTGCTAGGTTTGCTAGGAGCTAGAGCAAGGAACGGGAGCTCACCCCATTATGCTGAGCTCGGATCTCAAACCTCAGGCTGTCAGCTTTCCCAGCTGACAAGCTCAGCTTCTTTAACCGCTGAGCCATCGTGCCCTTCACAGCCAACATGAATTCCTCCTAATTCAAGGAATTATATTGTAGGTGGATATCTTAAAATCTTTTCAAATTTATTTATTTAACCGAAGGAAAGTTATAAATATGAAAGCAAAATGCATTCACCTTGGCGATAACATTACACAATGTTATGGAAGTGAAAACAGAATGCTTTTATATATTGAATGCTTTTGAATGCTTCTATATCACCAGACCTGTCTTTATCTATCAATCCATCCATTTACCTCTCTCTCTCTCTCTCTCTCTCTCTCTCTATATATATATATATATATATATATATATATATATCTTTCTTACTCTATCTATCTCTATCTCTCTTTCACTATATCTATCTCTATGTATCATCTGTGTATCATCTATCCTACCTATCTCTCTATCTCTTTCTCTCTCTCACTCTCTAGCTATCTCTATCTCTCTATTTCTCTCTATCTCTTTCTCTCACTCTCTATCTCTATATGTATTATCTATCTCTATCTATCTANTCTATCTATCTATCTATCTATCTATCTATCTATCATCTATCTATCTATCTATCTATCTATCATCTATCTATCATCTATCTATCTATCTATCTATCTATCTATCTATCTATCATCTATCTATCTATCTATCTATCTATCATCTATCTATCTATCATCTATCTATCTATCTATCTATCTATCTATCTATCTATCATCTATCTATCTATCTATCTATCTATCTATCATCTATCTATCTATCTATCTATCTATCATCTATCTATCATCTATCTATCTATCTATCTATCTATCATCTATCTATCTATCTATCTATCTATCTATCTATCTATCTATCTATCTATCTATCTATCTATCTATCTATCTGCTTTCAAACTGCTGGGGGGGGGGCAGGAGCTGGGACAAGTCATGAGAACTCACCCCACCACGTGGCGCTCAGATCTCAAACCCGGGCTATCCTCAGCTTTCCAGCTGACAAGCTGAGCCATCACACCCGCTTGTAAATCGGAATTAGCTTCCTACCAAATCATTTACTGATAAAACGTAGGCTCCCCATCTTTCCGAAAGGGAACCTCTCATTTCATGGAGTGGAAAACATGCTTCCCACAATCCCCTTACCTCGACGAGCAGCGTTTGCCGGGCGACCGTGATCTTGAACGGGAATACGGAGAGTGGGCGCAATGCCTGCACTGTGGGAAGGACCTCGACTGAGCGCATAGCCTCTGGAACCGTTGAGCAAATGAGTTGGGTGGAGACACCGAGTCTCTGCATGGAGAATTCAGGGATGAGGAAGAAGGTGACGTATCAAATAAGGTGCAGCCTTGCGTCCCGTACCACGAGCAGCACAGCTTTTCGTTTTCCGCTTCGCCGTCGTCCCAAAAGCCCTCCATCGCTAGTCCCGAATTGATAAACATGGATAGCTTAGAGAACTGTTCATCGCTGTAGTGACTGTACTCCCTCAGATGGCCGGTGTTATTCATCTCTTCCTCGAGAACCGCTTGGCTAGGGTAACCAAAATGCTTGTTGAGTTCAGCTCGGATTTCCTGGTCTTGCAGCTGTTTCCGGCTGTTGCACGCTAAGTCCTGCTTCCTCGCCTGCGAAGCTTCTCGCTCATCCTCCTGGCGGTTCTGCTCAAAGGAGGAACAAATGTGGCACCACTCATAGCCGGATAGGCAGCCTGAGAATTCAAATTCCTGACGGGGATTCTGAAGTTCCAGGGAGCGGTTGACGCATCGTTCTGTCTTAGAAATGGCCGACTGACAGTAATCGTGGTCGCCGAACAGTGTCAAGCCAGCCCGCCTCGCCTTCCTCTCCTCACGGCCCACGGGCAGCACGGTGGTCTTGCTCAGCTGGGCATATAGCTCCGACTGCTCCGGACCCTTCCAGAACAAATTGCGTCCTTGAGAGATGGAAGAGTCACTGCAGCGAGGTGTCGGGGAAGGTGGCATAACAGTCGGGCATGACACCGTGGGCTTTGGCAAAGTCCCAAAAGGATTGTCTTGGCTGCTCTTATGAGGAGGGGTGGTAGGTGGAGTTAGGCCTAAAACGCAAAGGGATGGACAAGAGGGGGGAAGGAGAAAAAAAAAAACCCAGCTTAATCCATGTTCAATCTAGGCGATTATCTTTTTTTTCTCTTTTCTGCCAAATACTGAAGTACAGATACTGTCAATAGTTCATTTAGTGATCGTTCAAATAGTCTTTTTCTCTTCCCTTGCCTTCCAACTGTATTGCAATTAGCTTATTTTTGCAATTTCAATATTTTAATCTCCACTATCAAGATGCTAAAGCTAATAGCAACTCTTGCTCAGCATCCCCACCGTATTTTGAAAGAATTTGATTTATTTACCTTCCCTTTTCCTGCAATCTGAATCCTATAATTTTATCTCTCTCTCTCTCTTTCTCCTCTCTCTATCTCTATCTCTCTCTTTATCTGTCTCTCTATCTATCTCTCTATCTAGCTATATCTAGCTATATCTATCTATCTATCTATCTATCTATCTATCTATCTATATATATATATATATATATATATCTGTCTATCTCTATCTCTCTATCATCTCTATCTATCTATCTATCTATCTATCTATCTCTATCTCTATCTTTCTCTCTCTCTCTCTCTCTCTATCTATCTATCACTATATCTCTCTCTATCTATCTCTATCTCATCTCTATCTCTCTCTCTATCTATCTATTTCTATCTATCTATCTATCTATCTATCTATCTATCTATCTATCTCTATCGCTATCTCTCTCTCTCTCTCTCTCTGTATATCTATCTATCTATCTATCTATCTCTATCACTATATCTCTCTATCTCTCTATCTCTATCTATAACTATCTCTATCTCTATCTCTCTATATCTATCTCTATCTATCTATCTATCTATCTATCTATCTATCTATCTATCTATCTATCTATCTATCTATAACAAAACGTCAGCCCCCCCCAAAAAATCTGCTATGAATTAAATAAAGCTTTAATTATATGTGATTGAAAGAGACAGCCAGGTACAAAACGTTACGCTACAGATGGACAGCAATGATCGTGATCCGCAGCAACTCTCTCCGCTTGCGAGGTTAATTAACAGCCACCCACTGCTACTATGCGCAGAGTACACTTGCGGCGCCACAACTTTGTAAGAAAACCGTGTGCGAAGGACGATCGTGAAATTGAAACGGCAGGCAAGCCGTCTCCATGGCCCCTGGGCTCCTTGAGCATCCCAAGAGGGAAGCTGAAATTTACCTTCCGTTTTAACAAACAGAGGCTTAGGTAAATAAAGAGAAGACAAATGTCAGATCAATAACTGCTTTCCCCTCACAACATGTTAATTTCCTTTGCGAGAGGTCTTTGTAGAGAGGGAAGATCACACGCAGCCCTGCCAAAATCCCCAAATGAAAGAAGTCAAAGCCTTCGTCTCCAGGTTTCGTTTTGTGCAAGAAGCGTTTGCAACTCTTCTGGTTTCTATCTGATTATATCAAAGGAGCTGTCTCGTTCCCTGGCTCACACACAGACACAATTTTTATTGTGTTTTACAGCTTGCCTTCAGAAGTTGTGGGTGCAACGGATAGAAACCGATCAAGGGGAGAAGCAACCTAGAACTAAGGAGAAACTTGCTGACAGTGAGAACAATTAACCAGTGGAACAACCTGCCTCCAGAAGTTGTGAATGCTCCAACACTGGAAGTTTTTAAGAAGAAACTGGACCGTTTTATTAGTCTTAATTACATGATATTATTATTATTATTTTTAGTATTAGTATTGTTTAACAATATTCTATTGTTTAATAATTAGGATACTAATTTGTTTATGTTTTAATTATTATTATTATATTTACGTTAAAGGGGAGTTAAAGCGCATTATGGACTTGGTTATTTATGTAGTTGGTTAATGTTAGTTAGATTATGATTATTATATTTGTAACCCTGTATTCAGCTCTGGGAACTGGGGGAGGGAGAGGGGGGTTTAGGGTGGGTTGGTTTTGGGGTTTATATTGTAACTTTTATAAAACTTTTCAATAAAAAAAAAAAGAAGAGACTGGACCGCCATTTGTCTGAAATGGTATAGGGTTTCCTGCCTGAGCAGGGGGTTGGACTAGATGACCTCCAAGGTCCCTTCCAACTTTATTCTGATTGATCGATTGCCAGATTTCCTTGAATTCATGCAGTGCGTCACAAATTGAAAATCCAAGCGTTTTTCAGCTTGCCAAACAAGTACTGGGAAACTGTCATTCAGGAGACAGAAGGCCTAACACAGAGACTGACAGACAGAGTCAGACAGATAGACACAATTAGAGGGCTAGAAGGATCAGATGGTGTTTATTTATTGTCAATTATTGCAAATCACAACGATTCAATTGCCAACGTCTCTCTCCCAAAGGTATTTCTTTCTGGGGGGAAAAAACAAAACAAAAACCCACAACAACTTCAAACACGGAAAGAGTCACAATTCCTTCTGATCTGAACTCAAGTGGGGAGGATGAACCGGCTTGCAGGCAAAGCACGGAAGACAAAGGGGTTATCACAACACTCAAAAGGAACCTCAAGACTGACAGAAGTACAACACACCTTTGTGAGATGCCGAGAGGGTCAAGCTTGTTGCGCTCGAACAAGAACATTTGGGCAAAAACATCACAAACGGCTGCGGCTTTGCCCAGCAATTCCGTTTTCATTTGCTCAGACAAAAGAGAAACACTACAGAAAAACAAAACACACACAAAAACAACAACCAGCTGTTACCCCCCAAATCAAGGAAAAGAGAGAAAAGAGGGCAAGGCTGACGAAGGAAGCGTGAACGTTTATCTATCAAAACTTCAGGTGAAATAAAATCTATTTCCAAAACGAGTGAAAGGCTTAGGAAAGACAAATGGAAGCAATAGGCTTGGGATGGAGAGACGGAATCCAGGCCTCGTCTTTGCGGGAATGGCTGAGACTCTTTGAGGATCTCTGTAACAGAAGTACCATCATCGTTTACCTCCTAATTCAAAGAATAACCTATCGATTGTAGGTGGATAGCTTAAAAATCTTTTCAAATGTATTTATGTATTTAACTGAAGGAAAGTTATAAATAGGCGCGGGAACCAAAATGGAAAGTAAGATACATTCACACTGGCGGTAACGTTACAGAACGTCATGGACGTGAAAACGGAAGGCTTTTATATACTGAATGCTTCTGTATCATCTAGCCTTTCTACCCATCAATCTATCTATCCACCTCAACATCTTTTTTGTGATATGGTGAACAAAATTGGCTGCAGGATTCCAGGTGTGGCCTTACTAGGGTTTTATAAAGCGGTACTAATACCTCGCGTGATCTTGATTCTATGCCTCTGTTTATACAACCCAGGATTGTATTAGCTTTTGGGGCTGCTGCTGCACACTGCTGGCATCTATCTATCTATCTATCTATCTATCTATCTATCTATCTATCTATCTATCTATCTATCTATCTATCATCTATCTATCTATCTATCTATCTATCTATCTGTCTATCATCTATCTATCTATCTATCTATCTATCTATCTATCTATCTATCTATCTATCTATCTAATCTATCATCTATCTACCTATCATCTATCTATCTATCTATCTATCTATCTATCTATCTATCTATCTATCTATCATCTATCTATCTATCTATCTATCTATCTATCTATCTATCTAATCTATCTATCTCTTTATCATCTTTCTATCTATCTATCTATCTATCTATCTATCTATCTATCTATCTATCTATCTATCTATCTATCTATCTATCATTTGTCTGTCTGTCTGTCTACCTATCTCTACTTATCTATCTCTCTGCCTATCTGTCTATCATTTGTTTATCTGTCATGTCACACAAAGAGACAAATAGCGCAATACGAAAAAACTTTCAAATTAGTACTTAGTCCACCATTTCTGCTTTCTCTTTGAAGGACCCTTGTAACTTAAGGTACACCCTTCCACATGACACGTCTCACCTAAAACTCTTGAAAGAGACGCTTGTGTTAAATTCACATTTGAAAACGGAATGACAAAAACTGAGTTTTTGTAGGAGATGGCCAGGTGGAGCCCGAGGGAGGAGGGGTCAAACACGTCATTAGTTTGGAGTCACGACGTTCCCGCGAGAGACCCGAGTCCAGCCTCCTTGAATTCTGCTGATTCTCACCTAGCACCAATTTGCCTTGACCGTTAGTAGATCAGATTCTTGTATGTAGGTAGCATGAAATAAACTCTGTAGTACTTTTGAACTCTATCCGAGCTCTTATTTTTTTGCACCAGATGATTTGATACGTCTGTTTTAGTTCTTTAAACAAGGCCAACACTTGGATGAAGGACTAGCAGATAATACCAGAGCTGTAAGCAAAACCAAGAACTAGAAGATGAAAAGTCAGTAGAGAAGACCACTTCTATCCTCGGGAAGAAAAAAAAAAAACTCTCAACCTGAACTTATCTACAGAGTTAGCAAAACCTGAATTCAACTTGCCCCTAACAAAAAAAAAAAAAAAAGGGGGGGGGAGGGATGGGAATAGGGAAAATTCACACAACAATATTTAACTGAAGAAGGAAGATTTTCTTTCTCCGATTCCCTTCTTTTCTGCCCATCAAATCCTGTCCGCTTTCCCGGAATCGAAACTTAATCCTATCTTTATTCACAACAAGTACCAGGTCCTGCTCTAATCACAGCAATCTTGAGTCCCATCTCATGGCATGATCCTAAATCAATAGTGCTAAAACATTCTGGGCCTTTTCTGTTGATTTCCCCCCCCCAACCCCCACCCTCCACTCCAGCAAACGTGTACGTTTTTGCATGGAGAACTGCAAGGTATAGTCTTTACTCTCTCTTGAACTTCCCGGAGTTTGACAGATTTATGAAGGACAGATGGCCGTTACAGGTTGAAAGCTGACAAGAGGCAGTTCAGAGCACTGTTAACACACTTACACAAACCCTCAGCACTGCGGCACTGTGCGGAATGTAATTCAGACGATAGCCTTTTTATTGCCGCCTATTTCCCTTTTGTCAAATGGGCCTGGTGTGTGTCTGCCCGCAAGAACAAATGGC